GTGTACAATAGGATTTTGAGTATAGTTTTTACCATTAAATTATGCGAAAGGTGTCAAACGCAAAACATTTCAGAAACCGTATGTATCAAATATGATACATTTGGCATTACAGGGTTAAAAAGCCAGTCTTCATAAGTGCAATAAGACTTTTGTTAAATAAGCCCAGATGGACCAGTGCCAGTGAATTGTTTGTATCTGTTAGTGTCAGGACTTTTATGGCTCTTTTGAGAAAGCTTATGTATAAATTTATTTGTTGTCTAAATGAGTCTAATAATAGAATTATTTTACTGATGACCAATGTCAAATATAGTGCAGTTAAATACTCATCTGTGCTTTGGAGACATTGGTATAATTGCCTCCTGAAGGGTTAGGCACCTTCTCTGTTGTAATCCTATTCTTTTTATTCTTAGTGTATCTGTTTTCTTTTAATGTATATTGGATCTTGAGTCTGTAATAATCAATCAATCACTGTATTGCTTTCAGATTCAACGAGCTTTTTAGTTTTTTTCCCCCTCTGCTGGGCGAAAACAACTTTTCTATTTCTCCATCCGTTGCAGAGCTGATCTGCCTTATGAGCCAATCAGAAGTGGATTTTATAAAAACATAAGGCCAGGTCGTTTCAGACTTACATTTATTTTAGAAAAGAGATGTTGGAAAAGATCTACTAGTGTTAATAAAAGTATTATTAATTTCGGTAAATCTAAAGGAAATTAAGTACAAATGAAGCTAGATTTGCTGTAAAACCTAAAGCAGTCCTCAAAAATACCTTACTATTAACATTTCATGAGGCTGTGGCTCATTTTTGTGCTTCCAACATGCAAATGAATTCATTTACTGAAACCAAGCGCAAAAATGGAAATCACTCATTGTCTCCCGACTTAATTACAAAAGAAGACAGAGGGGAAGCTGTCAGGCTGAGTGTTTACAAGTAAAGCTCTCTGGGATTTTTGTTTGCCAATTGTCAGTCTGGGAGCCAAGCTCTCTGCCGCTGCCTGTTAAACCGCTTTCGGACAGCGCTTGTGCCTGCAAAAATCTCTTCTGTCAGCCACACACTATTGTCATTCATGTATTTAAACGCCTCTGCTGTGAAAAGGATAAAAGCCGGGTGGTGGGTGGGTGGGTAGCTGAAGGTTTGCGGGGACACCGAGTGCAACTGGATTGCATGAAAAACAAGGACCGAACTTGAAAGTGACAAGACATGACAGCATTAAGCTGTCAGCGCTCACCATATGTGGGACAAAAAGCAGCACGTCCCACTGCTTGACATGAATCCTGTTATTTCTACGCTGCTAAGGCCAAATGGTACCATTTGGAAACTGCTCCATATCATGATGCAGCGTTAAGTTATTCACTGCAGGACAATCGTATCCATATTTTGGTATAATTTATTAAATTCATGAATGGAAATTTGTGTTGTTAACGAACAAATGTAACAATGTCTGTCAATTGATGAATTAAACAAGCCAAGATCCAGCTTAGCTATTTCAAACATACTTTTAAAATGTGTCCCCACAAAAAAAAAAAAAACAAGACAACGCCACATGCAATGTTGTCATACATTTCTTTATGTCCTTTTAATGAACGTGTTGCATGTTTTACTTTATCACGTCAGCAAGCGTGAAAGCTGATAAATGCCATCGAGACTTTGATGGTGAAGTAGGATTTTTAATTCTTGCATAAACACCTGATCACTCATGTGAGCTAAATGCTTGCTATGCCGGAACTTTTCCAACAAATGTAATCCCATCTCCTCTTTAGCGCATTTACTGTTTATTTAAAAAGTTAAATAGTAAAATCAAGTTTTGCTGCTCTAACCCATAAGAACTGCCCTCTTCAAGTACTTTGAAAATACGTTGAGTCTTACAACTATCCAAAAGCACCTTTCATACCACACCAGTGGCATCTAGAATCTCCTTTGCAAGAACATTTTAGTAACATGAAAAGATCTTTGAAACCTAATGTAATATGGTAGAATTATTAGATGTTGGATTAAATAGATACAGATTAAGCTGAGATCAACATGGCAACACAATGGATAAAATCGTCCTTTGGTTGGTTCATCCCCACTCCTACTCTAAGAGCTATATCTGGGCTACCTTCGTGTTCCTATTTTTTCCCCTCATGTTAAAATCATCTCTATCTTCACTTAGTGACTTTTTAAAAGATCATATCTTCTTCACATCTTATTCGATTCTGCAGAAAAAAATTTCAATGAGCTGAGCAAATATTCTCCTTGGTAATGTTTCAGAGTAAAAGTTTATTGAATGGGTTGAACCTTCACATTTTATAAATGTGTTATTATTTATAAACGTTTTTAATTCTTTACTCTTTGGTGAGGTTATAACCAAAAGCTATGTTAGTGAAACTAATTGCTATTCTACAGGAGGATTAGGCCCAGTGGAAAAAAAAAAAGGTTAACTGATTTTTACATTTTATTTCTGTTTAGTATGGGAAAAAAAGTCAGAATTCTGAGAAAAAAGTCAGAATTCTGACTTTTTTTCCCACTTTTTTTTTTTTCCCACTGGCCCTAATCCTCTTCCGTACTATTCAAAGCCTAAATTTAAGCAATTTTTTTAACAAAATAAAACAACTCTTCATATTTCTCATAACTTTACATGAACTTTGGTTCATAAATATCTGGCATTATGACATCAGATGGTCAAGGTTGCTGCTTAGCATTTAAGTCTACATAACTTAGATTTAATATACATTTACAACATCCATCAATCTTCTCCCGCTTAGTCCTTGTCAGGGTTGCGGTGTGGCTGGTGCCGGGCAACACAGAGACACACAAAGACACACAACCATGCACACACACTCATACCTAAGGAGAATTTAGAGAAGCCAATTAACCTAACAGTCATGTTTTTGGACTGTGGAAGAAGCCGGGGTACCCTGAGAGAACCCACGCATGCTAAGGGAGAACATGCAAGCTCCTTGCAGAAAGACCCCGAGCCGGGAATCAAACACAGAGAACTTCTTGCTGCTTCTTGCATGTGCAGTAAAATGTGAGACCATGGCCATAATAAATATCTGAAACCAACTTCAGCAATTTTTAAAATAAATACATAAATAATTAAGTGAACTTAAGTTTCTATTTTTAAGCTGCATCATTTTTCTGACACATTTATAGCAACAGGCTCTTTGAGTCTAATAATTTCTGGCCAAATGTTTTCTACTTGAAGAGCTTTTTTCTACCAAGGGTCATAATGAGAATTTTTTTAATCAATTTCATTGACATTACAAAACGCATCTAAAAGCCTCACACGAGTTGCATCATTGCAGTACTTTGAGTTCAGTTTTACAAACTGAAAGAGTTGCACTGCAGGAAAAGACCACAGTAACACCTTGTCAGTCAGTAAATGGGAGCCTTGTACTTAGGTAAAGCTTTGAGTAATTGAAAGCAGAGACTACATAAAAGAAACCACGGAACCAATTTAGCTGAAAAGGTGAGGATGAATGCAGCACTTCTTTCTGCAGAGGTTTAATCAGCCTTTCAGTTATATTCTATCTGCACTCATTCAGCAAAGTTATATACCAACAGTAATATCTGCATTAGTATTCAGTATAGAGAAGCATCTCCACTGCAGATTTCAGTTATGCAGCAGATTGGATTAACACAATAGAACTAAATACAACTCTCTGTTTCAATATTCTTAATTTCTTTATTTTTGTTTGCCAATGTTAAACAAGTTTAAGCTCCTGCTGTTTATATAGTGGTAGGTGGTTCTGAACACAGGGTGGTGCTGCAAGGGCCTCATAGACGACGCCCAATTGATGAAGGAGCATAAATGCCTTCATGCAACTACCTAAATGATCATATAAAGTTGAAAGATTTGCTGCTAAAACATAGTAACTGAGAACATTTATAGCTGAGGTAAAAATAAGGCAGCATTAACAGGTAAAAGAAAAGCAGGTTCTGATCCAACTGTTGCTTCATAGGTGCTTTCAGTCCCCAGATCTGCAGAAGAAAATACGAAGAGATCTAGAAACGCACAACATCTCGATCTGTTTTGCAGGCCACCTTACCATGATGATTCCGCCTATATGGTAAATATATATATTTTGACATGAAACCACATGGACCATATAAAGTCTAGTATTTCACTCTATGAAACTAAATGACTTCAATCAAAGTTTCTTTAAGTCAGAACGTTTATTTTTTTGCTGTTTCAGTTTTTATTGAATTATTATCTGTCAATACAAGAGCATAAGCAACACAAACGTAACTTTTGCACAACATTAAACAACCGTTGTCTAGATAAGCACAGACATATACAAACATTTTCCACATTAAGTATTTCATATGATAAGAGTTTATTTCCTTCCCGCACTTCATGGTAAATGTTAAGGCGATCTTCACATTAGACGAAACCCACTCTATGTTTCCCGTATCTAAATCAAGGTACATTTGGAGAATATGAATTCAGTGACACCATAGTTGCTTTTCCCACAATGGTCACACCACATAAAGCCCCCCTTTAATGTAATATACAAGCCCACATTATATAATTGCAAGAAAAACATAACCAGATCTGTAGGAAAATTAAAAATGTTTCAGGCTTCTTTAGTTTTAGAATCAGATTACTCAGGAATATTGTAAGATTTTCCAGACACATGTTCAGTTTCCATTTTTTAACAAAACCAAAGATGGAAGAGAAAGTTCACACAATCTAAAGGATCCAAATGTTTAGTGGTATTTTGTTTTCTTTAAAAAAATCCTGAGATAAAAAAAAAAAAGTTAATATCCGGCGTGTGCTCATAATATCTTCACACCATTGGGCGCATAGTGGTATAACGGTATATGATGATGATGATGCCGTGCTACCATAATATAGAGAAGCAATATGTTCAGGTCCTTATTTACTGATTCAACAAACCAACCGAACTAATGTTTTATTTTTGTTTTCTATCCATTAAAACTGCCGCAGACTACATGTGAAAACCTAACCTTTACACATCTACATCTGGAATAATGACATAAGTTGACTAAGGTAAAATAAATAAGCAAAATCAAGAATGAGGTTTTCCCACTGACCTAACTTTCGTTTTTTAATTATTTTTAGCACAATTATAACCTAAGGTAACATTCTCAGATTCTTTGCATTATGTTTCTATCAATGATTTCTTGCTAGGTAACATCGAAACCTTCTATTGGATCTCTCTTCTTTATGCCTTAATGGCTCCTTTGGGGTAAAACGTTCTTTTGTGCTCGTTTCTCTGCTCACATACTAACATGGGACAAGAAAACACGTAGAAGTTTTTGGAAATTATTGAATATTACACAATATACCAACCGACATACTGCCTAAGAGACACGATTCAGGGAAGTTAAGTAGAAAACTTAGTCATCCCTTCATTTTGGCTCCTTTTGTTTGACTTAGAATATCCGAAACATCTTGAGCCTTTTCTCTAATGTAAATATTCTCTTAAGATCTTTTTCCTTATGGTGCGTTGACACTAAACGTGATTCCAGTGACTTGGTCGCCACTCATAGGTGCTGACGCTTGCTCGACATTTCACCAGCTATTCACATGGTAACAACAAGAAGCTTCTATCTGCTGCTTGCTGGTTTCAGTTCAGCTTGGTGGAAATGGATTTTACAAAATGGGCGCTTTATCCATTATGGAAAGCTGAACAGCACCGGTGGCGACGGCGTCCCTGGGTCCAGCAGATCCTCCAGAGTTATTCTACTTTATGGGAGGATCGTCTGGACAACAGAAGTAAGGCGATAAGGCATCCTGGAGCTCAGAAAGAAGCAGCAGGGGATCAGAGCCACAAGCTTTATCTTTTACTTTGATTTACAAAAGTTTCATCTCCAATAAACTGCGTCACCCTACATCACAAATACACCCACTTCCTGATTGGTTGTGAAAAGCTCAGATTTCTCAACACACCTTTGCTGTATTGATCATAATTTTACGATTTTTGGAAGTGTGTCCTTCACATTGCCGAGCTCCTAAATGCACCTCTGCATAGAGAGAACATTTGAATCGCTCACTTCAGTCGCTGATATCGCATTTTGTGTGAATGCACCATAAGTGTCAATGCAGCAGGCAAGTAGTGCAACCCTATGTTATTCCTACTTTGTTAGATAGGTGGCTTTCACAGGTAGACGTTTTAGGCTTATTTATATTAAAACCATCGGTTTAATTTCATTGCACTTTTAAAAAAAAACTAACATAAAGAACTACATAAAAGTAGAGTGGAAGAAAATAATGCATTTTAAATTCTGTTCAATGTTTATTTACACGTGTATTCACCCCCCTACACACGATTGAAATCCACTGGAACCACTTGACATTAAAAGTTCTATAGTTGGTAAATGGGTCCCGGGTATGTAAAAATGTCATCACAGTAAATCAAGCTGTTCTGTAAAAGGCCTCAGTGTTTCCTGAAGGAAAAACATCTAGAGATGGCAGATAAACCACCTTTTACTAGGACAGGAACCCTAAACTTACAGCCAGAGCTACAGTTAAATGGCAGATGTGTAACGCTTGTAAAAACATACAAAGACTTTCAGTGGTATTTGCCACAAACTATGGTTCTGTAAAGTATTAACTGAGATGGACTGGATTCATTTTCTACTATTTAGAAATGTATTCAAGACTAAGTATACGTTTACCTCAAATATAATTTCCTTTCCACTCTAAAGTTATGCAGTACTTTGTGTTAAAACCTTTAGAGGTTGACACAATAAAAGATGGAAATGTTCAAGAGTTAATAGTATATTTGTAAGGTACAACAGACTTTTAAAAACATTCATTACACAAAGATAATTCAAACAAAGCCATAAATGTAAAGAATATTTCTTTTGAAACGAAACATGAAAAACATTTTCCATTGGCACATTCACAACATAAAGACAATATTTATGTATACAAGCTTATAACTGTTTTTTTTCACAGACAAGTCCATTCCAGCGAATAAAAAAAGAAATCTGACAGATAAAGCTACAAGAGCACAGGCACTTGATGTTCTCTTTTGGATGCAATAAGGCAGTTGCTGCCAATAAAAAGAGGTAAAAGAATGTCACCACATTGAGACGGCGCTTTCTACGCTGTGCAATCTGCAATCATGCACACAGAATTTGAGCAGGACCTTTTTGGGAGGCCTTTAAACGAGGACATGGATATTACTCAGCTCATGACTCACAGCCTATTAGGATGAGGACTGACAAACAGAAGATTGAAAAAAGAAAAAACAGATGGTGGACACGTCGATGGCTGCTGACAGCCTCTGATGTGACCACTTCACCCAGCTTTAAGCTCAGCAGTTACCGGTGGTGCTGACGGTGGTGTAGCTGAACTTGGACATAGAGGTCACCATCGATGTACCCATAGAGGTGGCATTGAGGCCGTCTTCCCCATATCTCATCTGGCGGCAACATATCCGGCGGCAAAGACGGTTGCGACAGCAGCAAGCGAAGGTGGACAGCAGTGCCTTGCGAAACCGTGTGTTCATAAAGCAGTAAATGATGGGGTTGACGCAGGCGGACGTGTAGGATAGCAGGTGGATAAAAGAGATGGGAGCTCCGGTGAGGGCTTTGGAGGCAGACTTCAGGTCGAATGCCTTCCAGGTGTTGGCTGTGTATAAGGGCATCCAGCAGATGAAGAAGAGGGCTACGATTACCATCAGCATGCGGATGACTCTCCGCTTGGCTTGCAGCTTAGCCTCGGAGGTGTTGCTACGGGCCCGCTCAGGCTTGTGAAGGATGGTGGTCGTTGAGGATGAGAGGGTGGGTAGCTCTACAGCAGAGGAGGGCTTTTTGGAAACCTGGATGTAGCACCCATCATCATCGTCATTTGGGCCTTGCATAGCCCTGCCTGCACCATTCTTCTGGCCTAGAAAAGGAACGGTGTGCACTGTAAGCTTGGGACAGTTTTTATATTGGTAAAGCAAACACAGTAATGAAATAAATAAATAAAACCATTATACAGTGTGAAGAAATTAGAGTCTTTGGCTGTGTCCAAATGTCCGCCTTAACTAGTTTATAGGGAACTATATACTTGTTACGCCAGTTTAGATGAGTGTCTGAATGTCTAGTGGATTAAAAGTAGTGGACACAATGCACCTTGAAAAGTAGTGAGCATCCATGTTCACTAGAGGAGCAGATATATCCCAGAAAGCTTTGCAAGAAGAACTCTCATCGCAAAGCATGATGGGGTTTGTTCTCACAGTGGCCTGCCCTCGCCTACGGCTGTTGCTACCCAACAATGGGCGACAAATAACAAAGATGGCACAGGAACTGCGCAGGGAGACGGGATAACATGACCCAACAGGGAGCAAAAAGTAGTGATCATCTGTCTGAATGGTCAGTTAACTGAGTTCACTCTAAAGTCCACTATATAGTCTCCTCTCTATATAGTGATTGAAGTTCCGTAAAAATTCAAAAAGTATCCACTGGACTTGGTTTTCAAGATTTGAAGACGTTTCGCCACCTCTCCAGGAAGCTTTCTCAATTCAAATGTCTGGATCCGCAGTGAGTTTGAGTCTTATATAGACAACGCCTTGTATCGCTTGGAAACA